ATGTAGTCTGTTTGGTTTGTATATAAACCCAGTATGTTGGAAATACATGATTCAGATTGCAGAAGTTGAGATTGGTGTTCTGGACTCTAAAAGGCGCGGTTAAGCGGGAAGAAGGACCGGTAAGGACGCTAGAATACTCGTACATGTTTTTATGTCATTTGATCCAGTCGATAAATCACTGTTCTCTAATTGGCGGTATGATTACATCATACATTGATAGGGACATATGGCACAAGTTATAACATAAACGTTTTATTTCTTTTCTAAACTTTTAGTTTATCATCAACTTTTATGGAGAATTCTTGAAGAAATTAGTAGTCAATCACCAGTTTCTAAGTGATGCTACAGAAATTTGATAAACGTTCAACATAATTGAATAATTCAAAAGTACAAACTTTTGTAAGAAATTATCGTTTAGTACCTTTGAATATATAACAAATAATACATATATTTTTTTGAAAGGGTGGAGAAGATTGGTACCTAATGTGGATGATTCTCATAGAGTTTTGTTCTCTGAGCTGGATGGTTTGATCGTGGAGCTTTCATCGTTATTCTGAACTACATCAGTATAAACATCAGGTGGAAATGCTGATGATGACCATGAAACCCCAACGACCAAACCAACCAGCTTAGAAAATAAAACTCTATCAATATATATATAATTCTCGATGAGATTTCCAAATGCCATTATGTAAATAAATGTGATGAATTTAAAGTTTCATTTGAACAAATGAATAGAATGACATTATTATTTAATATAATGGTTAAATTCATGAGTCAGTTAAAGCTAGACCATCACGGAAAACCTGGAAGCACTACACAGCCATTTCGTTCTATTGCGGAGCTCCTCAGCAGTGTTTATCCATAATCCCGCCTCACGTTATTCGAATCTAGGACCTATCGGTCTCATGCGCGCATGCTTAACCACTTAACCACTGAGCCGGCCGGTTTTCAACGATGTTAAGGTCTAACTTCAGCCAATCCACGAAATCTCGACCGATAGGTCCTGAGTTCGAATTTCGCGGGGCGAGATCGTGGGTACGCCCTAATGAGAAGTTCTATACTAGGATGAAACGGTCGTCCAATGATTCCAGGTTTTCCATAGTGGTCTAGCTTCAATTGATTCATGATCTCAATCATTTAAACCTAGAGATCTATTACTTTTATTTGTAAATATTTTATATCTCAATTTCAGAAACTATTGAACAATGAATGAACAAGGTCATAATCCCCTAAATATTTCTCACAATAAATTATTTCGTCACTAAACGATATGTTTTTAATTAGAGCAGCGATGGGTGGAGTTCAGCCGGGTTTGTTGTGAGAGTAACTGACTGGTGTCAATGGTGGATGCGTCGCTCAATTTCGTGGACTACTTGAAGTTGGACATTAAAACTGTTGGATACCTGCCGGCTCTGTGGTCTAGTTGGTTAAGCATTCACACGCGAGACCGATAGGTCGTGGGTTCGAATTTCTGGAGTGGGATCTTGGATGTGCACTGCTGTGAAGTCCCATTTTAGGTCGAAACGGCCATCCAGTGCTTCTAAGTTTTCCATTGTGGTTTAGCTTCAATTGACTCATGATCTCAACTATTAAATCAGAATTTGATATGATGAAGAAGTCGTAGCATTGTATTAGTAACAGTGATAGTGTAGTGAACGAGAATTCAGGTGAGGAAGATCAATTCATAATTTAGGGCGAAATACATGAATTGCAAATCTTACATAAATAGTCTTTTATAAAATTTCATCGTTATTACAATTGTCCTCTGTTCACATTTCTGTTCTCTTCAATTTGATCTTCTCAATCCTCTACTATCAGGCATTCCACTACTGACTGGTGTTATACACTAGTTATATATGTCCAGATAAGTAGCGTGCACTGTAGTAGTAGTATTGGTATATTATATCTTTATCAGATGGATCAGACATCCAAGTTACTCAAGATTAAATCCCTTTCGCCTCTCATCCTTCAGCTGGTGCCATTCTATCCCGACAATATAGAAGTCTGCTTCCGCTACACAGAAGCTGGCTTCCACGAGCACGCGTGACAGAACCACATGTACAATTCCTCTCGGTGGTGAAAGCACTACCGCGTGATTTAAAAAATACGCCACATCCAGTATGTGTACTAGCGATGTTATGCAACACTGAGAAACTTTAAAAATCGCTATTCATAGGTGTGGAGCATTAGCCGGTTGACAAATAATAGACGAACCCTTCCAAAACATTGGGCTGCAAAGTGGTTCAGCAACGAATGAGAGGTTATTGGTCAACGAACATTCGACAATGGTCTGTTTAGACAGCTTTTCTCGACTAAGCCTCCCCATTAGGTGCAGGCAGTGCTTGTCTCATTTCGAGATAATGCTGCAGACGAACTGGATGCATCTACCGACCGGATTATGGAGATCACCAGAACTTCCAGCTACCAGGTTTATTCTGTCAAACAAAAGTCTAAAACAATACAATACGTCACAGACCTCGGTCACACTTTCACACGTTACCTTATTATTCATCATGACCGTAGACGCTCTTAAACTCTTCGAACGAGTTCTTCACCAAAACGATCTGTCGCTAGATCAAGAGAGACAGATAATCCTGATTGTTGTTGATACCACAATAAATGTGGTAAGTCATCTCGAAATTGCAGAAAACCCTACAGTTTCTCAAGCTTCAAATTATCCAACACGAACAGCTCTTCGGGAAACTTCTCCTTCGGCACGAGTTAACACCAACCATAGCCGATGAACAAAGCCGTTCGTTACGCATCACTGACATGATAAAGAAATTTCACTATTTCGTTGATACTGATACTAAAGTAATAATACATGTAGTTTGACTTCGAACATGAAACTATCAACCCGATTGAATTAATATGAATTTAATTCATATTAAATTTTATACAGTAACACAGAAGACAAATGCTTTAATTCAGCCATGTGAACCACATCGATATAATTCAGTTCTCTGAACACTGTTAGCATTTCCTAAGTAAATGATAACAACCTATAATATACCTGATGTTAGGCCCTTTAATGTTATCAACAGGCTTACCAATTTAGTGGTCCTATATCTTAATCCCCTTAGATCGTTTCTGATTTTCAGCGAGATATACATACCGCCAACTCTCGTATATAATCATCGACTTTAATCACATTAGTAAATAATGGAATAAAGTAAGTTAAATACCAGAATGAATTTCCTACAATCATTGATCAGAACAGATAATAGGAGAGAATGAAGTGCAGAGAAGCCAGACGAAATAACCTGAATTAGATAGATGTGTGAGCCAATTCATGACTCAATATTTAGATTCAAACGTGTATATCTCATTGCCAAATATAATAATATTGTTTATACAAGATATCAAATATCACTTATATGACCTTATAGTAAACAAATATGTATTCTAGACAATAACATTGTCTAGTATATTAATATAATACATAATTCCGAACCATTTGTCGTCTAGGATTGACTACATCTCTATATAAAGTTATTCAAGACATAAAAGAGAAAAAATGTTTACTTTAAATGAAGAGGAGACCTACTTTTTTTAATTCTACTTCTATATTATGTAATGATTGACAGTGATTGTCTATTTCAAAAAGAATAGTTTACCGCCATTGATTGAAGATAATATTGTAGTAAACAACAGAATGAAACATTTAACTGTTATATAGTGAAATTAATTGTATGATTGTGACTTTATTGAAATGAAGTTCTTTTTTTTTCAGCCTTACTTTTAACCATTTCAGTAGTATAATAAACTTGACGCTATTGATTATAAGGTGATATGTATCTACTGATATGGTAAGTCGACCCTAAGATGAAGTCTTAGTTTATAGAAGAGGAAGAAGAAGAAGAAAGGGTGAGACCATATTTTATGAACGACCATTGAGCGATGCTAAAGTGGCCTTGAGAGTGTCCACCAAATAATTAGGACAAAATGAAGGTTATAAACTAGTATGAGGGAATAGAATTATGATTTGTAGTTGATGGTTAGGGTTAGGAATTTGATTTAGGGTTTTCATCACAAACTGACATTAGTTATAATGCCAAGACTCTATTTAGTTAAATGGATGAATGAATTTCGCGCCAAAATCCGAGAGTTGTTATCTTATACCTGATTGGTTTGTCCATAAATTATAGTCTCACCAAAGAAATATGTTTCGGGAGATCAAAAGTATTCCAGAACGGCGTTGAAAACACTGAGAAACATTTTATCCAGTCAGCGTTGTACAGACGTTTCTCAGAAATATCTAGATAAAGAAGAGTTACGTGTCCTATTTATGATTACCTATGTTCAGTATGGTTCCACAAACTTTTAGAAGCTCAAGACTATCTGAAATACCATAAATATCTTCGATTTTCTGTACATAAACCAACCTACAACTAAAACGTCTCTTTTCCACACTCTGCGTCATTTCTCATTTGCAAATCGTCGTGTAGATTTAGTCTGAGATTATTAGAACTTAGGAAATCGATTCATACGTTCACTTAGACGACTTATCACTTACTGTGTACAGGATATTATATTGTGTAATAATCGGCCGATTAAGGTCAATAGTATTTTTGACAATTTTCATGTAGTCGTACATAATGAGGTGATCATTCGCATTGTTATAAGCCAAAGACTTTTTTTTACCTTTTATACAGGGGTTCAAATGGCCTTAACTCCATATTTATAATATTTACAATTATATTGATCTCGATGTTCAAGTAACACTGATTTCTTACTCAGTAATGAATCTAGTACTGTGACTATAGTAGAAAAGAGAAATTTACTCACACTAATTCAATTCACTTTATCGATAGTATCTCTGGATTTCAAGTGGTCAGTTATGTCTTGTGCTTGATGGGAATCTTGAAGTAAGATGGAGACCGCTAGACTAAGATGGTAAATCGTTTGATACAGTAGTAAGTGATCATCGACTGAGGTGCCATGGACATATATTACTTATACTTGACCACCACCTACATCGGTATACGCCGTGGGTTGGTGTAAGAGTAATCTGGAAAAATATGATATTAGTGTATGAAGTGATTCACTGTTGAAATGAGTTGTGTTGGTTGACGCAAACAACATGACTTAAGCTTTCAAGATTACTTTAATAAATGGTTGGATAAATATGATACACAATCGATTGGAATGAAATACATACATTCACTCTTAGTCTGAACTTGGATCCAAAGTTTAGAAATGACCTTATATTTCTTACTCAGTGAATTCATCCTCTTTTCTTGAACAATAATGTTTATTCTAAATCTTTGCCACTACCATTGATACCATAACCACATATACTACGTGAGATTTGTTTTGATAAGTTTCCCTCTCTATTTTTTTATATTTTGTAACCAAGATGATTGGGAGTAAATATGTGCTAGATTCTACGTTGCATATGAAAAGTGTCATTCTTGATCGTGATTAACTCGTCTGTATACCATACTTTTACTGTTCCAATTCACTTATAATCAAGCATGAAGCATGTTTCAAAACCTGGAAGCACTAGACAAACGTTTCGTCCTACTATGGAACTGCTCAAAAGTGAGCATCCACGACCCTTATATCCGTGAATCAAACCAATCACCTTTAGTTATACACACGAACACTTATCCTCTAGATCACTGAACTGCTATCTAACGTACTACATGACTGTACTAACTTCAATCAATTCCATCTTAAAACTGATTACTTGAGATGCAAACATTTCTCTGATTGACCGACAGCTAAATGCATCATTTCACAAATGTTAGAAAGCTATCAATGATAAATTATAAATAATATACTTTATAAAATGTAATATAAAATAAGTCATCTAACAGGACATCATAAATCCCCATACATTCCCCTATTTTTTACACACTAACAATGCCATACAACGTGGTGATAAAACTGGGTCAAAAATACGTATATAACCAGAATATTGATAAGGATCATCTTGATCATATTTTCCATTCACGTTGCCATATTCTCTAAGATACCATAAACGATCAAACAGTACAATTGTTTCAAGTAATGGTTGAAATAATTGCTGTAAAGCTAATAGACCTGGTATCAGATTCCATATCTCTTCAAAATAGTCACGATATTCCGTGAAACATAAGTCACTATTAGTCGACTGATTGGAACATAGTATATCTTCTAAGTACTTTTGCCAAAAGTTGATAATATGTGGATACACATCATTGAAGTGAAGTGATCGAGGATTATCATTCGCATCATTTTCATGATAATTAGTAGCTAATAATTTCTTTATTGCATCACATTGTGTCACTGGATCAAGTCGTTTATATCGTTCAAATACCATAGACAAATTGTTATACTTGATCAATATCAAATCTAAAATTATACGAGCCAATACACGTATACGATGTTTATTAGCATCTAATTCTGTCCAATTTAACCATGTTAAAGGTGAATGTTGACAGGCTAAACGTAGTGTAGCTGGTGTAATACATTTTTCAATAAAGTTCATATCACAATTTAACATCGCTTTACGTAAGTAATCACTAGTAGGAAACTAAATAAATCGAAATTAAAACAAAAAAAACTCCAATAAGAAATACATCCAAAATGAAAACAATTATCACTATAGGGGATGTGGAGATTGTTAAGTTTTGATTGAGACCACCACTGAAAACCTGGAAGCACTGGACGGCCGTTTCGTCCTATTGTGAGACTCCTCAACAGTGCGCATCCACGATCCCGCTCGCGGGACCAGTAGGTCCTGGGTTCGAATCTTGCAGGGGGAGAGGCCGCGGAAGGGCACTTTTGAGGAGTCCCACAATAGGACGAAACGGCCGTCCAGTGCTTCCACGTTTTCAATGGTGGTCTAACATAAATCGGTTCATGATCTTAATCAAAACAATTATAGGTGTCATTACCAAGGTTTGATTTGATAATTTCGAATAAATTGAGCATTGGGTTGATTGTTATAAATAAAAATAATATATTTGTAATATCCCAATGAGTAGAAAATTGGATTTTTCTGACGTTTCGTGGCTTAGTGTAAGTCACTTCTTCAGAGAATAAATAACCAAATTAAATTAATCCAAGTTTAAATAGTACAACGGAACAATGCAAGAATAATATTTGATCAATCAAAAACAGGTCTGAACAAGTTGATGTATGTCATTTCTGTCACGGTGATTCATAAGTGATAAGTATGTAAATTTGTGTATGTATGTGTGTGTGCATTGTTAAAGAATGAAAACTGTGTGACCTATATGGTAAGAAAGGATAGAGTTTAAATTTGTAATATGATAGTGTGAAATTGTAAATACGATCAGACTGAATGGTTAGGATAGATGGTCCAAGTAGGATGTATGGTAAGGCCTTCTTTTCTATTGAGAGAAGTGGGATTAAGCATTATATGGAATGCCTCAGCTACCCTCCTTTCTTTGTAGTTGGAAAAGCCTTTTTGCAATATTTTGATATTTTTAAAATCGATTTGGTGGTTGTTGAAAATGGCATGAACTGCTATTGCCGATTTAATTTGAAGTTGGTTCAGTTCTACAGGATTGTTAGGAGGTTTCTTTGTGTACCTAATATGTTCTTTGGCTCTAGTCAAGATTTCGCGGGATGACTCTCCAATATAATAGGCATCACAATCGATACAACCTAATTTGTAGACGCAGTTCTGTGTGGACATGAACGGGATTTTTTCTTTCAAGCGAACTAAAGTATTACGTAGTGTGTTCGTTGTTTTGTAATACACTTTAATTCTGTGATGTTTTAAGATTCTTTGAATTTCTTCTGTTGTGCCATGACGGTATGGTAGGACTACAGTGCCAATCCAAGGCATTTCATTCGAATCATTATTATAATGTAATAAACTGTGTTGTTTTAATATGCTTCTAATAATCTTCATAGGAAAATTATTAAATTGTAGGATGCTAATTATATTCATTTGTTCTTTTTGTTTGTCTTCCTCTGATGTGATGATCTTGTTAGCTCTTCTAAAAAGATTTAAGGCTAGCGAGATCTTAGCACTGAAAGGATGTGCTGAATGGAAGTCAATATAACGATTTGAATGCGTCGGCTTTCGGTAGATGGATAGGTTTAGACTTCCATTTGGATTTCTTTTTACCAAGCAATCCAAGAATGGTAGTTCACCATGTACATTTTCATTTTCATTCGTGAATTTGATGTGCGATGAAAGTGTATTAATTCGTTTTGAAAAAGATCTTAGATGAGTCTTTTTTATAACAACAAATGTATCGTCTACATATCTAAGCCAAATTCGTGGTATAATGTTGTGGGCGAAGATATTTGATTCTATGTATGCCATAAAAAGGTTGGCTACAATCGGGGACACGGGGGATCCCATCGCTACACCGTTAGTTTGTTTGAACAACATACCGTTAAAAGTAAATAGCGTTGAATTTAAGCAAAGTTTTAAGGATTTCATGATTAGACTGATGCTCAACGGACATCTGTCAGGAAGAGTATTGTCGTTCTCAAGTAAACCACTAATGAATTCTAAGCATTTATCAATGGGAACACTTGTGTATAAAGAAACGACATCAAAGCTTACCATGATTTCATTCTTCTCGATGATTAATCCGGATAATTTTGATTTAAAGTCATATGTGTCTTTAATTATATTATGTAAGTTGAGTTGTAATGGTTTTAATATATTGCTTAAATATTTCGATAGTGCATATGTTGGGGTGTTTGTGAAGTCTACTATTGGTCTTAAAGGAATATCTGGTTTATGAATTTTTGGTAAGCCATAAAACCGTGAGACATTACATGATTTGGGATGCAAAGCAAACCAAAGCGAGACCCCAATGATTGGTTTTAGCTCGTTCAGAAGTTGATTTGTTTCTAATTTGACTTTATTCTTAATCGTTAGAGAAGTTTTGGGATTGATCTTTTCATAAATAAAAATATCAAAATATTGCAAAAAGGCTTTTCCAACTACAAAGAAAGGAGGGTAGCTGAGGCATTCCATATAATGCTTAATCCCACTTCTCTCAATAGAAAAGAAGGCCTTACCATACATCCTACTTGGACCATCTATCCTAACCATTCAGTCTGATCGTATTTACAATTTCACACTATCATATTACAAATTTAAACTCTATCCTTTCTTACCATATAGGTCACACAGTTTTCATTCTTTAACAATGCACACACACATACATACACAAATTTACATACTTATCACTTATGAATCACCGTGACAGAAATGACATACATCAACTTGTTCAGACCTGTTTTTGATTGATCAAATATTATTATTGCATTGTTCCGTTGTACTATTTAAACTTGGATTAATTTAATTTGGTTATTTATTCTCTGAAGAAGTGACTTACACTAAGCCACGAAACGTCAGAAAAATCCAATTTTCTACTCATTGGGATATTACAAATATATTATTTTTATTCAAAACAATTATGTTTGAACTGATAGAATGAAAGGAAAAAATGGTTTTATTCTAATATACTTACATATTCTATGTCAAACTTATCACAATTGATTAGCTAAAAATCTATAAGAAACAGAATCGGCAAAGCAAGAGTAGCATATCTACAATTAAAGAACATCCGGAACTCAAAACAATTGTCAACCAACACCAAAGTCACAATTTTCAATACAAATGTCAAGCCATCATCCAGAAGATACAAGTGTTTGGTAACAGTTTTCTACGCAAAATACTTCGGAACCGTTGACCAGACAATATCAACAACAACCTACTGTGAGAGAGAACAAACGAGATTCTAGCGGACGGAGAAATCAGGAATACGCGCTGGGGGTGGATAGGACATACATTGAGGAAATCACCCAACTGAGTCACAAGGCAAGCGCTCACATGGAATCTTCAAGGCCAAAGGACGACCAAGAAACACATTACGCCAAGAAGTGGAGAAAGACATGAAAAGAATGAACAAAGATTGGATAGAACTAGAACGGAAAGCCCAGGACAGAATGGATTGGAGAATGCCGGTCGGTGGCCTATGCCCCATAAGGAGTAACAGGCGAAAGTAAGTAAGTAACAGAAAAAAACCCACAAAATTGAGAAAATTTGATTGACAACATATTTGCCAAATATTAAATTATACAATCAGCTTTTCACATAAACATTTCATTTAAGAAGAATCGATACTATAACGCTGCCTAGATTGAGTATGATAGATCGAGTTATCAGGTTGGAACTAAGCAGATCGTATTCAAGTGGTTGAATCATTAATTATCATTTATTTTATTTTAACACATAGATGTTGGTACAAGGAGGCACCAAATACATATGCGCCATACAGATCTCATTTGATATGTATGAGGGCTGTGATACTACCCGGGTGCCCAAACCGAAGCAGGTGGTTTCCTTAGGCAGTGAATAGGATTTCTATGGGAGTGGTTTTATGCACATGGCCATGTGAGAGCATTTGGAGAGAGAGAGAGAGCTGACTTTCCCCACTCTCTGCTGTACCAGGGCATTTGGGATAAAACTCAACAGATCTTGTGTTGAGGTTAAATGATAACAAAAGCCATGTAGAGATAACACGATTAAAAAACACACCGAGTTAGTACTCCGAATATTTAAGAATGCATCCAAATAAAACCAGATGTTTTAATCTGATTTTAAAACTCCAATTCAGTGTAAACCAGTGAGTGACCCAAATGCCCTGGTATGGCCGAGAGTGGTGAAAGTCAGCTCTCTCTCTCCAAATGCTCTCACATGGCCATGTGCATAAAACCATCCCCATAGAAATCCTACTCACTGCCTTCTCGCAGCATTACTGTTGTTTACGAAATTGAGAGGACGAAAAGCGAATGTTTGGCACTTTAACCGGGTTTGTGGATACGGAGGATCCAACTAGGGGAGTTGGAAAACCCTGATTTCAAAACACTAGTGCACATGGGATCCAGTATCCTGAGGAGAACGGCATATGAACCAGCTGTTGGTCACCGGTTACCATCGCACTGCATCTCCTTACGTTGCTCCACTGCCTTGTGGATCAGACCTTTGGCTCGAAAGCTCCGGGTGTGGCCCCTAAGAAAACCACCTGCTTCGATTTGAGCACCAAAGTAGCATCCCAACCCTCACATAAATCGAATAATTTATGTGGTGTATATATATTCGGTAACTCCGCCTGGAGTCCCTCCGGGGGCTACTGCCGGTCCCAAGCCCGGATAAAGGAGGAGGATTGGGCATGAGGTTAGCGTCCCCATCCCGTAGAAAACTAACTCGCTAAAAAAACGCTAACCAGAAAAATATATATTCGGTGCCTCCTTGTACCAATGCTTATGTGTTTAAATAAATAAATAAACGAATTACTCTGCTAGACGTTTAAGTCAGAACTATCAGGTTGCACAAAGAGTACATCACGTTCAAATGAACGTATTGGTAACTAATTGCTTACATTTTCAAATCTAGTAAATACGGAACATTTCACAGTAAACATCCGTGATCGACGTTGAACGTCACCGGTATTATAGTTTTTCACAAAAAAAACTCGTCAATGAGAAAATGTTTATTAATAGAATAAGAGTTTGTGAAATGATTAGAGTTGGAAATATGAATAGTTTAATAACAACTGAGTTATCTAAAAGTAAGTGACGGTCTTAAGTTCGATACTTAAAATGGCTGTAGGTGAGTGCTTTTGAGAAGTCCACAACTAGCAGGAAACAGACCTTTAATCCTCTCACTTGTTTTTAATGACTTACAACCAAACCAATTAAAACTAAGTAATCAACACAAACTTTCTATTCTGGAAGAAAGAGAAATCTAAATTTCATATTTTCGATAACACATTTTACCTAACTTATAAATCTGTTAAAGAGTTTCAATGTAATATCGAAAATAACCCAACAATATCATTAGAATGGGGGTTTTGTAGGGATTGAAGTAATTGGAATAGTTGAGTTCATGAGTCGATCTAAACTAGACTACCATCGAAAACCTGGAAGCACTTTACAGCCATTTTGTCCTAGTATTAGACTGCTCAACAGTGCGCATCTATAATCCCGCGCGAGGCCGAAGGTCCTGAGTTCGAGTCCTGCATATGGAACCATGGATGCGCACTATTGAGCAGTCCCATACTAGGACGAAACGGCTGTACAGTATTTCCAGGTTTTCAATGGTAGTCTAGCATAGATCGACTAATGAATGAATGATCGACTAATTAAAATCCTTACCTTTTCCACTGTCATTTTATGATAACAACATCCGACTAATAGTAGAATTTTTGCTGAACAATCTTGATGAAATAATTCTATCATAGATTGACTTAAATCTCCACAACAATGTAAACCAAGTAATAAGTAATTATAACCAGAAGTGAATTGATAAAGTCTGGAAAAAAGGAGAATATACCTATTTAGATGATAAATGAAATATTCGTATAGAATAGGAAGATTTCGAAAAATTTACAATAACTAATTGAATCAGTTCATTGAAATTGGATTCAAATGGATCATATTGTGAAGAAACTCCGCCTGGAGACCCTCTGAGGCTACTGCCAGTCCCAAACCGAGATAAAGGAGGAGGGTTGGACATGGGGTTAATGACCCCATCCCGTAGAAAACTAAGTCGCTATAAAAACGCCAATTAGAAATATTGTGAAAATGTATTCGTTGTTTATTAAATAGTAGTGACATTTTGTGTGTTCCACAGCCTTTATGGAGAGTAATATCAGATTAAATAGTTCAAATTTAAAGAGAATAATTGGAACATTAGCTTACAATCATATTTGTTAGATAAATGGAAAACTGTCATATTGAACAATTAAGGACATAATTTTTATTTTATTTATTTGAGTACACAAATATTGGTACAAAAAGTCACCGAATACATATGGGCCACATAAGTCACTTGATTTGTGTGTGAGCTGTGATACTGCCAGGATGCCCGAACTGAATCAGGTAGTTTCCTTAGGGGGCCACAACCGGGGCCTTCAACCTAAAGGTTTGATCCACAAGGTAGTGGAGCATCGTAAGGAGATGCAGTCCCATGGTAGCCGGTGACCAACGATTGGTTCATACGCCATTTGTCCCTTCAGGATACTGGAGCCCATGTGAAGTGGTTTTCCAACTCCCCTAGGTGAATCCTCCATATCCACTAACCTCGTTAAAGCGCTCGACATTCGATTTTTGTCCTCTCAATATTGTAAACAACAGTAATGCTGCGAGAAGGCAGTGACTAGGACCTTTGTGGGAGTAGTTGTATGCACATGGCCATGTGAGAGTATTTCGAGAGAGAGTGAACTATCCCCAACCTCAACCGTACCAGGACATTTGGAGGCACAAAACCTATTTAAGAAATATACTGACGATACCATCCAAAAGATATGACAGACAAGAAAAGTTATATTACCAAACGTACTTGAACAATCAATGGGTCGTTCAAGGAACATATATAAAAACAAGATTTAAAGATGGTCGAATGTTAAACATTAAAAGTTTAGTAATAAATTACCTACTGCCTACAGATATTCTTTCAAGTTTTATCTTTGTTCTATGCGTCATCAAGTAACCACTACGCTAGATTAGATTATATAACTACGTGTACATTACGTAACAATAATACAAATCCACCAACATTAGAAGTAATGATATATAACTGTGTCAATAATTCGAAACTTATCAAAAACAACTTGGATTTTAGACTGAATACACGTTATAAAATCTAACTTAGCTAAAACTAGCTTATCGCTCCAATCTTACTGTTTTCAGTCATAAAAAGACGTCACTGATTTGGTCATTCAGGAATTCTGATAATCAATTCTCAACTTGAGGGCTTTAATTTTAAATGCGATCCTAAACAACTTTAATTTGTTTTTTTTATTGAGATCATGAACCGATTGATGTTAGACCACCATTGAAAACCTGGAAGCACTGGAAGGCCGTCTCGTCCTATTGTCGGTTCATGATCTCAATCAAAAAAAAAATTAACAATCTCCACAACCCCTAGACTGATAATTACCATGTGCTCACTAGTGACTAGCTTCGTGAGAAAATTCTCGGAGTTTTAGCGAGGAGCCGTGACCAGTGGAGCTAATGTGTGTCGGGTAGAAACAGGTGTCTACCTCAGTACAATGGAAGATGGTCGCGCAATTTTGTGGATTGATTGAGGTTAGACATTAACACCATTGGATGCCGGCTAAGTGGTCCAGTAGGTTAGGCGTTCGCACGCGAGACTGGAGGCCCTGGGTCCGAGCCCCGCAAGCGGGATCGTGGACGCGCACTACTGAGGAGTCTCACAACAGGAAGAAACGGCCGTTCAGTGCTTCCAAGTCTTCAATGTTGGTCTAGCATCAATCAGTTTATGATCTCAATAAAAAAAACTTGACATTCTCCACAACTTCTAAACCGCTTAATTTATGTGTTTAATTAGTAGTACAGTTAGATCATATGGGCACTCAGTTTGGATTCAAATCGACTACATCACTGCTCATTCGATGAATGATAATTTAGTACAATAATGATGTTTACCAGAAAAGGTAACAAAAATTTAAAAGAACAAGGTAATCAGAACAAGGTAAACAAGGTAAAAGAACAAGGTAAGAAGAAACAATTTCAATATCTTAACGAAAATACTTTAGTTCAGAAATCCTGGAAGTGATTAACATGAAAAACAATGAATTATGAGTGAAACTAGCTTGAAAACCGAGTACAAAAGAGCTTATATCTGACAGGGGTTAGAACAGTGAATTTTATGAAGTATGCTTGATTCTTTATGATAAGTTAAATAAGTAGAAAAAGACTGGAACCTAGAATTTATCGCTTTCGGCACAGAATCACCGACATGAAACATCAGACAATCAATACTAATATTTATACGGTTCTATATTGTCATGTCGTTAATGTCACAAACCTCAAATGATCAGTCTTCATGACTATATATACGTCTTGAATGGATTGCTTCATGATTGTGGGCTGAATTCAGTAGCTAGATGGACAACGAGATGGTGTTTGTAGCAAAAGATAGTGAATTCAGGTCAAATTATCACTCGAATGTTAGGTCCAGTAGATCCAGCTGAAGGTTGATGAAAAGAAGAAACCGTGAGTTCGAATTCCTCTGCTACCGACTATTCAACTTACCAGTACATTCTTTTCTATGACGAGTTAAATTAAATGTTATTCATCTAGGGATTATTTTAATGTCATAGCATACTATTGAATTAATTATAAGTAGTTTAAAAGAGTTAAACTAATTTTCAAAAATTAACCAACCTTGTTTGTAACAAATCTAAATTCGTCGATTTAACACGAAATAGTAATCGTTTCACAACTGAAGTTAAAGATTTCACTTGAAATATTGAATTATACTGGCTTAAATTTGTCAAAGCTTTAAAATGTAAACCCTCATCACATTCAACTGCAATAATTTGAGGTTCTGTAAATAAATCCCCATATTTAAGTATTAGATGATAACCAATATAATTAGATAAATAGCCTAATCCGGAACCAATATCAATAATTTTAAGTGGGATGCTTGAATTTCGATCTAGAAAACAGTAAATCATAAAGGTGAAAGTATAAATCATCGAACCATAGGATAATAACAAGTCATTATCTACAAATATAAAGTATATTTGATAATGTAAAACATATCGGATGCTAAATTCTTGCTGTTTAGATTGTATATAACACGTAAATCAAACAAACCCTTGATTGCTAGCCTTCAATCTTGAGCCGAACTCCAAATTTTTAATTCTAACTCTGGATAAATAAATGTTGGAATGGTTAATCAGTAGTGCTGGATTTAGGACTTTAAAAAAAGACAAAGTTTTATCCTCCTGTAGCCGTTGTGACTATCAATATGATATAATTGTGTTGATTATGAATGAGCTTATATTATCAACGTCATATCCTGGTCTGGTCCACAAGGCAGTGGAGCAATGTAAGGAGATGCAGTCCCATGGTAACCGGTGACCAACAGTTGGTTCATATGCCGTTCTTCTCCTCAGGACACTGGATCCCATGTGCATCATTGGTTTGTAATCAGGGTTTGCCAACTCTCCTAAGAGAATCCTCCGTATCCACAAACCCGGTTAAAGTGCCAAACATTCGCTTTTTGTCCTCTCAATTTCGTAAACAACAGTAATGCCACGAGAAGGCAGTGAGTAGGACTTCCCTGGCAGAGGCTATATACGCGTGTCCATATGAGAGCATTTGGAGAGGGAGAGCGGACTCTCCTCACTCTCGGCCGTACCAGGGCATTTGGGGGCAATGGTCTTAAACAAAACAAAACTTTCTTAGCTTATTATTAGTGAACAAGTGTACTGAATTGACTGGAATTATGTAATATGTGTAATTGGTTATTTTTTAAATTGTCTGCAACATGTAATCACACTTCAAGTAGAAATGACTATTTAACTTAATCAATTCATTATATCGGTTAATGACACATGCTCAATTCAATTTTTATGATTTATTTAAACACATAAACATTGGTACAAGAAGGCACCAAATAGATATGCACCACATAAATCATTCGATTTATGTTAGGGTTGGGATACTACACGGGTGCCCAAATCGAAACAGGTGGTTTTTTTATATGGCCACAGTTCAAGCCTTTGATTTAAAGGTCTAATCCACATGGCAGTGGAGCAATATAAGGAGGTACACTCCCATTGTAGCTGATAACCAACAATAAGAGAGCAAAAACAAAAGTTGGTGCAGAATAATACATGAATTCATTTTATTTCGTTAGGTTCTCATCAGCTGCTTACAACCTAAAATATTTGAAATTCAACGTTATTATAGATATTGACATACTTATACAACAGAAGGTGATGAACGATGAATATATGTGACATGATGTGGTAAAGATTTAGTTAGAGTTAATGAGGTCATAAAAAAATTTTTTCGAATATATAGAGTTTGGTAGGGAATGTTCCAGAACATTGAAATAGTGATTAGAAATCATGGAATTAAAACCCATTAGATTATTATGTAATGAAATACCTGAAAATAGATTAATGATGTAATTATAAGATTCAGAAAGAGTTGGAATGACGTAATAAATAAAAGGGGGGGGTAATGTTACCAGGGCAAAGAAAGATTTATTACTGTTTCTTGCTCTTTTTTAAATAATAAGTGGAACTATGTGTATGAAACCAACAATAAGTTTATATGCCATTTGTTCCTTGTGATCCTGGAACCCATGTGCACCATTGGTTTAAAATCAAGGTTTTACAACTCCTCTCCGTGTCCATCGTCGAAAAAATATACATTAATCAGATGTCGGTTCCTAAACTGCTAACATCTAACTGGCGATCACGACCGATCAAGAAATAAAAAAAGGAAATTTATTGAAATACTTTGTGCTGAGAATTCCATATTGACTACTGCCTTCCACGTTCACAGCCACTTTTTGGCTTTATTGTATATGAATGTTATTTCCTATTTTATGGTGCGTTGTGGTCTGTTTGGTTGATATATAAACCCAGTATGTCTGAAATAAATGATTCGATTCACATACTGGGAGATGGTATTTGGTGTTCTGGGCTCAATTAGACGGGCTAGGCGAAGATAGAACCAATAAGGACGCTAGACTGCTCATTTCGGTCGAACGTCATTGGATTGGTACAGTGTTAAGATCGTATAAGTCGTATTTTGATTAGTGGATAAATCACGTGATAAAAAGCCGGACATAAACTCACAACAATTTGTCGAAGGGGAATTCAATTAATCATAAATAACAATAATGAAAATTTCACTAACCTTTCATAATACTATTTTCTATCAATTCATTACTGATTAAAGGAATATTTTGAAAATGATCACTAATATGTTCATTATTCAGTAGAAATTCATTAAAGTGGAATATATCTTGTGAAGAACTAACAAATCCATCATTATTATTACTATTAGTGGTAGTCGTCGTCGTCGTAGTAGTAGTAGTAGTAGTAGTAGTCGTTGTCGTCGTCGTCGTCGTGGCAGTTGTCGTCGTAGTACTATTCACAACTGATAATAAGATTGTTTGAATAAGTATCGATATTTGTTTAAGTTCATATGATTTCTTTTTTGATAATTTTAAAAGATAATTCTTTTCTATATTATTCATTTGTATACATGTGATTAAATCTGTACATATACTATTAGAATTGAAATAACAACAAGGAAATTGTTTATTTGATTTGAATATAATATATTGAAATAATAATCTTGTGAATTGACGACATTGAATAGATAAATTTATAAGATTATTAGGCCAATGGGATAAATTTGAAGTACCCAAAACAAACATCTAAAATGATAAAGATGTAAATAGGGACCATATGTGATTTTATTGATAATATAGTCATTAATAGACAAAGCAAATAAGATATCTGATGATTATTCATTTTTGTATTGGTTGGTGTTTAGGACTACGGTTTAGTCAGTCAATTACAACGTAGGACTAGGCATATATATGTATCAGTCTAAGTTGCTATATCTCATTAGCACAACAAGATAAATAACAAATTCATAGAAGTAGTTGTGGGATGTGGATTACTTATATCCACATAATTAGTGTAAAACGGTAATCAGGCATAGAATGTATTTCAGTAGAAGATCGATAAGGAAAAGGAAGGAGACGGGACGAAATTGGTATGAAAATGCATGAACCATTAAATCTGAGACAATGGACTGATACTTGCAAAAGAAACAGACAAGTTTGAGACGAACATCAACTCTGAGATGCAGGTACATTCGGCTGACGAATCCCAAATAAGACGAAACGCGCGTCCTGGATTCCACTGCTAGCCATTCTCCATCATTGCTCATTGACTATATGGTTCTCAGATCTTATTGAGATATTCTGTAATTTTGTACTTAACTACATTCGTTTGTCCCCACTCGTGTACTTGTTCCAGCAGTTGCTGGAATGGTAGTAATATACAAAAGAACGGTTGTATATAAGAATATAATACAGGAAGAAAGGACTAGTTCGTAGAAAGAAAGATATAAAGTAACTTTGATCTCATAGTTTAAGGGCAGACAGTGAGGGTATACGCCAACGACATTGTGATCGATTCTGAGCAATGTCACCCACATAATCCAACCATTGGTTACGATAGTCACGCAGAACCCAACCAAGTTGTCTGCATCTACTAACATGGCTCAGACTAGAAGTTAGTGACTTCAACGACTGATGTCACATTTTGGTTTGTCCACCCTTAACTTTCTTCTAACCATCCTCAACACTAGTCAGCACTGCAGATCGTGGTAATCAGTGGTTGGTCATACGTAACACGTGGCCCAACCATCTCAGTCGATGAAGATTCACTAACTCATTAACTGACTTACCATCATTCCCTAATCCTCTACGTCTAACCTCACTATTGCTTACCCGGTGATCCCAGCAGATGCGAACAATATTTCTAAGGTATCTCTGATCAAATCCTAGTAGCTTACGAATATCTTTTACTCCTAATGCTCAACACAAAGCAACTAGATTGATAATATTCGATCAATGGATAAAGGTTAGACAAGTATAACACTGATCACTACTACTATTTAGCAATCAGTCAGTGTGTATACTACAGCAACAACAACAACAATGTTAAACTTTAACAAATTATTCTCTTCATTTAATTATTATCAACACTTTTTTCTAATCAACTTACTTGTAATTCTTGAAGACTCGCACTTTTTAATACATTTTTCCAAGATGTTGGTAAAGTGTCAATAATAGGTGATATACATAAATTAGAAGAATCTTTATTAATCTTACATAAATCACCAATCCATTGAAAATTATATATCCAATTATATTCTAAGATGAATATGAGCAGATTATGAATGAGTTCATTTAAACTATTAGATGACATATTGTGTACATATATATATACCACTACAAAATAACAAAATAGTAAATAAGTAGAAGGTAAGAATAAAATGATTAATAAATTAATCTTGGGAAATTTATAGAAACCGTAAACTTTTCAACAGTGTGCATGCACAACTTCGTAACGGGAAATCGAACCAAAAACTTTTGATCTTACGTGAAAACATCTAACCTTAGAACCACTGAGCCCCCAAATGCCCTGGTACGGCCGAGAGTGAGAAGAGTTCGCTCTCCCTCTCCAAATGCTCTCACATGGACACACGTATATAGCCTCTGCCAGGGAAGTCCTACTCACTGCCTTCTCATGGCGGGGGTGTTATTCACGAAATTGAGAGGACGAAGAGCGAATGTCTGGCGCTTTAACCGGGTTGATAGACATGAAGAGTCCATCTAGGGGAATTGGAAAACCCTGATTCCAAACCAATGGCGCACATGGGCTCTAGTCTCCTGAAAAAACAAATGGCATATGAACCAATCGTTGGTCACCGGCTAACATAGGACTGCATCTCTTTACATCGCTCTACTGCCTTATGGATCAGAACTTCAGGTCGAAGGCTCCGGGTGTGGCCCCTAAGAAAACCGCCTGCTTCGGTTTGGGCACCCGGGTAGTATCACAGCCCTCATACATATCAAATGAGATCTGTGTGGCGAATATGTATTTGGTGCCTCCTTGTACCAATATCTATGTATTAAAATAAATAAATAAATAACTGAGCCGGCATCAAAACTCTAACTATAACAGGTATGAGATAGCTATTCATCACAGATAGTGGATGGAGGTGTATCGATACGAGCTAGACATATAAACCATAGGATGTCAACCTAGTGGTTCCAGGGTTACGAGTTCACACATGAGATTGGTCCTAGGTTTGATTCCCCATTGCGAAGTATTGTATGCGCTCTGCTGAAGAGTATGATACCAGGTTGAGAAAGCTATTCAATGATTTCATGTTTTCAGTGGTATTCCAACTAAGAATAATTCGTGATTTAAATTATGAAACCTGTTAAGCAATTAGTTCAGTCCGGCGAAAAAAAGTACATAACAAGTCTGAAAACAACCCACTTGGTAATTAGTCTACATGAAATTTCCAATGTATTCTTACAATCTTTCCTTTAAAAATTCTTGAAGATTTATTAATATTATGCAATGACAAAGTCCATTTCATAGTTGAATGTGAATACTTTCGCCAAATCGATGGGATCGCTATCAATAGTTCATTGGAACCAATATTAAATAACATGTTCATGGTACATGTTAAAAATCTAGCTGAATACCTAATCGAAAACATGTCCCTTTAAAAGAGATATAGGGATAGCATTTTGGTTATGTATGAAAGGCCGGAGGATATGAATTGTCAATTGAATAAACTTAACCCTCTTGAAAACCACATAAGGAGAAAAATGACCAACTACTTATCATAGATATACTTATAAGTAGAAGAGAAGATGGTTCAAACAAACGATTGATTTTTTGAAAGTTAACTTGGACAAGCCAGTACCTTCTTTGTTTTGTGGTTACTACAAAGTTCAATACAAACGGGATTTGTTAAGGGGACTACTTAACAGGATTGATCGTATTTGTACAAAAGACTTTATTGATGACGAAGAAACTTTATTAAACAAGACATAAACGGAAAATGATTATCCTTTAAAATTCATAAATCTATGGAAAGGTATAGTGAGACCTATTATATTTAGGACATAAAAAAACCTGTCTACATCGCCTTACCGTTCATAGGTGATCAAAATAGCCTTTTATTCAAACAAAGGGTTAAAACAGTTATTAACAAAACGTACTACACAGCAAACGTTATTATTGAAGAAAAAACAAGGTCCATGCATTACTAAAAACCTAAACGGTATGAAAACGATTGCGTCACATCCTACTGTGTTTACCAATTTAAATATGTACGTGGCCACACATATATAGGGAAGGATAATCGTAATCTTCAAATTAGCGTGTCTGATTATGTATCTGTATGATTTCAAAAACAATTAAAATCAAGTGTAGACGATAAACATCTAAAATCCTCTATTACCAAACATAAAGTTGAAATAGATAATAAGATGGATCTTAAAACGGCTTTTTTGGTGTAATACAAGTAGTAAAGGGAACATATTAAGGTTTACTGAAGACTTGGCCATACGAAAATTCAAACGCCCTATGATGAATTGAAAACCATAGATATGTGAACGAAAAATATTCTTTTCAATAAAATTCTCTTCAAGTTCTACAATTATTTATTTGAACACATAAATATTGTCACAAAGGGGCATCGAATGCCCTTGCATGGCCACGCGTATACACATGCTGTCAAGGAAGTCCTACTTACTGCCTGCTCGCGGCAATACTGTTGTTTACGAAATTGAGAGGACAAAAAGCGAATGTTCGGCACTTTAACCAGGTTGGTGGATACGGAGGATTCACTTAGGAGAGTTGGCAAACCCTGATTCCAAAACAATGGTGCACATGGGATCCAGGATCCTGAGGAGAAGAACGGCATATGAACCAACTGTTGGTCACCGGTTACCATGGGACTGCATCTCCTTACGTTGCTCCACTGCCTTGTGGATTAGACCTTTAGGTCGAAAGCTGCGGGTGTGGCCCCTAAGAAAACCACCTGCTTAGCTTTGGGCACCGGAGTAGCATCCCAACCCTCACATAAATCCAATTATTTATGTGGTGCATAACTGTTTGGTGGCCTCCTGTACCAATGTTTATGTGATCAAATAAATAAATAAATTTCTGGACTATCAATTTGGATAAATAATTGTAGAGCCTGAAGAGAAATTGTTATTATTGAAAAGAATATTCTTCTCCCGTAAATCTGTGTTTTAGTATTGATATAACGTAAGGTTTACAATATATTCCTCCCTCTACATGTATATTACGATAATACTTTTATAAGGCTAATCACGTTATATCAGAAACAAGATTCACGACCCAAAATAGAGGATCAGATTAACACTAGAGAATACTTTATTCAATACAATTATGAGCAGTCACACTCAGTGAATCAAGATTAGAAATCACACATGTAATACTCTGTAGGATGTGGCTATTTGTCCATGTTCAACGACCAATCGTCCTTTAGTTTCACTCTCACACATCAAATATGACGGAAATTTCCCAGCGATTAAAATCTTGTATTAAAAAAAAACAGTTTGTTATCACCTTAAACCTACCCTGTTAATACTAGTTTATCATCCAACGTGGTGAGTTTCACATTGTTTCCTTTATTATCTTTGCTTACTCCTACCTTAGATGTGCCTATTTGTCCATTTATTTATATATATATTAATGTTCTTAACAAGTATACATGTATTCAGATTGTTCGAAATGTATTAAGCTAATATAGTACATAGTTCTAATAATATTCGTCTTCTTATTATACTATCCAATTTTATAAAAGGAACTGATTACTTTAAAAATAAATTGGATATAGACCGTCTACAACCATAGAATCCTTCGAATCAGTATACAAAAAAGGGGGATTGAAACTATAAAAATCGTTATACTACTAAATTTACATGTGAAGGTATGAACAATACATCACTGTTGAAAACAATCTCCTAGAAGTAGCATACCACATTCCATACAATTATTTATAGCTAAACAACATTCAGTAACCTAATTCAATTTGAAATTCATTGGATTACCCAGTTGTTGATATTTTTGACTGAAATTTGATTAGTCTTGAAAAGAGTAAGAACGAAGATTGGTGCAGAATAATATGAATTCATTATGTTTCGTTAGGTTCGCATCAACTGCCTACAGTCGATAATATTTTATAACCAACGTTATCACAGATATTGACATGCTTATAAATACGAAGGTGATTAGAGATGAATATGTGTATCATGATGTAGCGAAGATTCCGATGTATCCAAAACGAGGTAGTAATAAATCTTCCCTTGCCCTGGTAACATTACACCCCTTTTTTTGTTGATTACGTCATTCATTATTTCAACTCTTTCTGAAGTTTGATTAAATTATTGTTATTTTTCTTCAATTCATAACTGACTGATTTCAATTTAGATCTTTCTTTACTACCATTAATCTGTTTTCAATTGCTTCATTATACAACTAACTCCATGAGTTCTAATTGTTATTTCGATGTTCTGGAACTTTCCTTTTCAAACGTTATTTATCGGAAACAAAATTTTCTATGACCTTATTAACTCTATCGGAATCTTCACTACACCATGATACACATATTCATCTCTAATCACCCTTATATTTTTATAAGTATGTCAATATCTGTTATAACGTTGATTTTAAATATTGTAGGTTGTAAGCAGCTAATGAGCCTACTTGAAACGATGGATTTTATTTGTAATGAATTAACAGAGAAGCGCACAGAGACCCTAATTTCCTCATCCTCAATAAAACAGTTAATTCTTAGATGTACGATGAATGTTCATTTCCGACTTGACAATGAATACTATAGACAATTGGATGGGGTAGACATGGGGTCACCATTGGGCCCTCTACTAGAAAATGAACCACTTAAGGACACAATTAACCATCTAACATCTTACTGTCGCTATATAGATGATACTCTCATAGTATTAGAAAAAGAACATGAAAAGGTGAATCTACTTAATATATTTGATCATACTCACTCATCGATTACTTTAAAACTAAAGGAAGAACAGAATAATAGCATATCGTTTCTAGATGTCCAACTAACTAGAAGATCAGATGGAACATTAAAAAGAGGGATACATAAGAAGTTTACAGTAGGACAATACACTCATTTCTATAGTGCTGTACAAATCGGATACAGAAAAAAAATTAAAGATCCTGACTCATCCGTGCTGGAATGATCTGCTCGGATGGCATCATTGTAGATGAATTGATTAATATTCGTAACTTGCTTAGTAAGAATGGACACCCGACAAAATTCATTGACAAACACATGAAGGTGACTATCGTAACCAATCGTTGGAGAGTATGGGTGACATAGCTCACGATCGATCACAATGTCCTTAGTGTATACATTCACTGTCTGCCTTTAAACTATGAGATTAAAATTGCTGTCTTACTTCCCATCAACTAATTCTTTCTTCCTTTACTATATCCTTATACACAATCTTTTATATATTACTATCATTGAAGCAACTACTTCTAAGAATTTGGTGTTCATTTTGTTGTGCTAATGAGGTATGGCGACTTGAACCGATACATATATTTGTCTGACCATACGTTGGAGCTGACTGACTGTTCTTACAATTAAAATTCCTAAACGATGCTACCAAGGAAACTGTGACTCAAAGGTTAAGAAAGGCGGTACAGAAAACATTTAGTGAAGCCAGACTGAGTGCCATTTTCTAAAACCGCTCCAAAATAAGAACGGTTAATAAAGAAATTGCCTAAATTTGCCAATTTACTAATTCAACTGCTCCTGTGGAAACCAGTTATATAGAGCGTAAAGCTCGACAAACCCGTCATCGCATAACAGAACACCATCCGTCTTGGTTGAGCAAGGAAAGGTAAGAGTGATTAAGAGTTCTATTCTCGCTCACTTAGTGGACACAGGTCGTCAAGTTGAAGTGAATAAAGTTTTTAAGGTTATCCATCATATTCCATCAAATTTGCCGTATGGTTTATCAGTTCGTCTTTTGCACATTTCTGCAGCCATTGGAATCCATGTTCACAAACCAAATCTTTGCATCCAAAAGAAGTATGTACAACTACTCTCGCTACCTTGGCCATCGGTATAGGGGTGTTTGTAGCAGAACTTTGATAAACTATTTTCAACATTCTTCTCTTGATTATTACACAACTACTATATTACTATCCATTCATCAAAATATTTTGTTAGTTCCTTCTTGTTTTTCATACATCATGCAACGTAGCAACTGATTGGTTTTCGAATAGTTACTTTGATTATTATAATCCTCTTTCTTCCAATTAATCAATGTTAGTTTATAATCGATGTCTTTATATAATTATTATGTAACGTATCTACTCGATGAGTATTATTTCATTATTGTAAATCATGCATAAATATTTTAGTGTAGAGCCATGATGAAAAACCAATTAAAAAGAAAATTCTTTACTCGATTCGTTCCTTCTTTATTTACCAAATGTCAAAATGGGAATTTCCATCTTATTATTCTGCACCAACTATGTGTATGATCAGTCTTGGTTGGTGAATGTGCAACCCGTGCGGATTGTCTCGATATGGCCATTATGCAACAAGTTAATAGAGGAAAAATTGAATATGACTGGCAGTGGAATCCAGAAAGCGTTTCGCTCTATTTAAAGCCCGTCAACTAGACGTACCTTCATATCAGAGTGAATACCAACTCAAGGATTTAAGGAGATCCAGACTGTGGGCCCCAAATGGGACTAACTGTGCGTCATGAATTCCACTACCAGCCACATTCCACCTATTGTATTCAATAACCTACAAAATGCTTATACTGAATAGACTAGTGAATTATATTGTGTTCGGTTTAAAGACTCAGACACATCACACTCGAAATTCATAAAACCTGACTAAATGTTATCATAAATCTTGATAATGCGGTGCACCACGCAAACGTTTTACAACCAATATTATCCAATTCAAAGGACACAATGACAAAAGAAGACAAACAAAATACCATTCCCAGGATAAACTGAAGCACACTGTGATAAATAATACAGTGGACGAAGTGGCCGCTATATCCGTTTAAGTTAAGGTTAGGTAGCTGGTAAGCGTCACAACATCCCACAACTTATACCAATGAACGTGGATACTTACGGACGAACTCAACTAGGAAAGTGTCGAAACACTGAGCATAAGATATATAAAGAAATACATTGAGAGTTTAGAAAATTAACACTTGATTTAAGCACTGTCAACAGATAAACGAACACTAGCCAAATCTATCAGTTAATTAAAAAAAGACAAACTCTAATGTAGAGATCACGTCAGGGGAGAAGATAACCAAAATAAACTAAACAATGGCCTCACAATTATAGATAATAATTTATCAATTGTAGCTAGACTGAACAAGCTTTCAGTCAATTGCGAATAAACTTAAACAGTACGATTCTTTTCTAGGAATTCGCTTATGATGTTATTAAAGAAAACAATTGAAGCTCAACAATTAAAATAACCAGTTCAGAGAACATAATACTATATCTGTGACATGAACTTATAGAAGCACACAAAAGTGCTTTTAACAACACTAAGTCCTGTGGCTAATGTTTATGAAACCTTATGACAAATATATATTTGCCAATGAATTGATAACAGCTAACAAT